AGGGTGACTTGTGAATTACTGGCATGAACTAGATGCTGCAGAAGGGAAAAGACAATGCAGATACACAGAGTACGTGCAAGAAACGGAGAGCACGGCACAAAGAGAATAAGAAACTGAAGCATTCCATCTTAACAGATGAATAATAAAATAACAGAATCATAGAATGGCTTAGATTGAAGGACACCTTAAAGATCATCCAGTTCCGACTCCCCTGCCATTGCCCAGAGCCCTATCCATGGCCTTGAATGCCTCTAGAGATGAGGATCACAACCTCTCTGGCAGCCCATTCCTGCATCTCACCGCCCCCTGAGTAAAAATGTTTTACCTGATATCTAACCAAAATCTCCCCTCTTTTAGTTTAAAGCCATTCCCCCTTGTCCTGTCACCCTCAGACCATGTAAAAAGTTGGTCCTCCTCCTGCTTATAAGCTCCCTTCAAGTTCTGGAAGACCACTGGAAGATCTCCCTGGAGCCTTCTCTTCTCCAAGATAAACAAGCCCAGCTCCCTCAGCTTTTCCTCATAGAGGTGCTCCAGCCCTGTGATCATCTTCATGGCCCTGAAATTTGAATGGGAAAAAAAAACAACAACAAAAACAGTAAGTGATGATGGTTTCTATTACATTATTAAACATGCTATTTACAGCATGTTTAATTTGTAATGCTGGAACTGGGTTGAAAGACTAAGTCTTTCATCATTGTTGGGAGACACACGATTTTAGTAAATAGCAATAACTGCACTTGGAACAATAAGATAGCATGCACAACTTTTCCTCAGAGCCGCAGGGAACAGTAATAGTTTAAAGATTTAAGAGAGTTCATCTGGCCAAGCAGCTAAGCTGCTTCTCTATGACTAATACATGGGAAGAGGTCCCTCTGGCATGTGATCCATTTCATCTTCTGTGCTTTCTTCAGGATGGAATGTACCATCCTTTCACTTTCTGTTGGTTCCAGAAGCAACCTGGGGAGGTAGGTTACATTTCCAACCAAGATGAGACAAGCCGTAGAATATTGGGTAAGGTGAAACATTCTAGGAATCTCAGGCACTTGGAGGGTGAAATTGAGGAGCACCATTGCTGAAAGCAATTACACAACCCACACCTGCTCTCTGTTCATTTCTGCTTGTGCATGGCTCTCACAGGTGGGCTGGTGCACATAGTCCTGGGGGACCAGCCACTGAAAAGACTGGGGAAAAGTCTCCTGGTTAAAAATACAACTTTTCTTTCTCTCTATTATTTTTTTTTTTTCTCACCATTATCTGCTCCCACCTCTTGGTTGCCATGGTTACACAAATACTTATGCTGTCACCTTTATTACTGCCATGTAAGGATAAGTTAGGGAGAAGCAAGAAGCCTCCTGAAGAGGCAGCAGCAGCAGCAGCCAGGTCTTGCCCCCACTGTGCAGGAGGCAGCCCCAGCAGCAGTGCTAAGCCAGCATCCCACTGCTGGCCAGACCATGGCTCAGGTGAACTGAGAGGCAAATGTCTCAGTTTGCTTTTTAAGGAGTCAAAAAAGGAAAAGCGTATGTTACTGACAAGGCAGTTGGGGTTGCTGCCCCCACCCATGCTCGTTTTTCCTTCTTCTGGTCCTATGGGAGGGCATAGAGTCCTAAGTTTATTTCCAAGATCAGAAACCAGCCAGCCATGACAGTGCTAATAAAACAAGCATGGGCCACAACAAGCAGAAGATGGAACTCATGTTATTTGAATAATAATATAGTCATCAGGACTAGGCTAATTTCCTCATACCGCCAAGCTCCACGCCACAAATAGTTGCCTTTATTTTGATTTTAGCCAACTGAACTGTGATTTCTCTTCAGATTTCAGGTTAGTTTGAAGTTAGAAACTCTTTTATCTCGACTTCTTTGAGATGGAACAACTCAGATCTGAGCAAAAATCTGGGTATTAGATTTTGAAGTCCTATTCAAGGCAAATCCAAAAGGTAAGAGAAATCTTCCAAGATGAATCAATGCCAACTAACCCAGTGCTTATCCTTCTGCACTCAAATGCACTATAAGTTTCAGTTGCCATTTTTTTCTACAAAGAGATTTTTTCATAATTTCACAATTTTTACTACCTATTTTCTCAACACTTTCACGTTATGCCTTCAGATCTCTGTGAACTGATTTATGTCCTTTTTTTTTTCCGAAAATGTACTCCTACTTATGGCTAACAAATAACACTTGCTCACTTCTTGAGCATCTCCTCATAGATTTTTTTTCCTTCCTTGCATGCCTTTTCCACCAGATTGAAATGAACACTTTTTGTTCTCAAGTGAAATAGCAGTTTGGAATTTAGAGTCCAAAAAAAAACACATCATATTGTCAAATGTGTTAAAAATGTCACCGAGAAATTTGATTGCAAGTTTGTAATCCATACACAAGCATTCAGCCACCCACTTTCGATGCATTAAATGCTTCTGCTAGGTTGATTACATCTCATTTTTCTTAAAGTAAACAGGGCTCCATCACTAAATTTATTAGTAGAACAGACAGGAACAGGAGATCATTTCAAAGTTGAAGTACCAGTTATTTGCACTAGATATACTGTGGGAATTTAAATTAGCACACTAAGACATTACACATATCAGGAAACAAATGGAACTGGACATCGTGGCTTCCTAGTTTTGTAGGTGTAAATGAATAGCTGAAGATTAAGCAACAGAATGCAAAAGGCCATTAAAATTCTAATCAAGGGCACATGACAATAAACCCAGAATCAGTATCCAGTCTGAACATTAGTGGCCCATTCTCCCACAGTAAGTCAAGTTCTCTTACAATAAAAATTTGACAGATAGCCATAGATTTGGGGAAGTTCCATACGGCAAAGTCATCTAAGAATAATAAGGCAGTAAAACTAAATACAGGGAGTATCTATGGCTGTCGTGGGAATTAAAATTAAGATAAGCAAAGTCAAGGCTGCCCAGAGGTTATACTGAGTAGGAGACTCCTTTGTTAAGTTTAAAGGCACTGAGGACCTCACATCTCGGATGTTCAAAGCAAGAAAATAAATAAGCAATGTATTTTTTTATAGGAAACTCTTAAAGCATTGCTGGGTGCAAGATGCTGTTTTGTGAAGAACTGAAGGTCAGATTAATTTGGGAAGAAACGAAGTGTTTATAAGTGAGGGACACACCAGACTCCAACGCTCATCAATTTTAAAATATAGGAAACTCTCACACAGACCTATGCATGGAATTAAGCAAATGTGATGTGTAGAGAAGCAGAAAAAGCATAGCACAGTTTCCAAATGTGATACAGTAGGTCTTGAAATTGCAGGCTGAGAGATCAGGTAAATACATTAGTATATCCTACATATGTTTATAGAAGTACTACATGACACAGAATTATAATATAAAAACAGCACAATAAAAAGCAGAAATTACGAAGCAGGATCACGCCATAAAAGTCAGAAATTCACTGCAAAGTCATAGCGATATTGCAAGCAAATTTGAGCATATCTTGTGCATATAAATTCATTTTTAGAGACAGAAGATGCTCTGATAAAACTTGCAAGATTGGGAAGTTCATCCATGAGCATATAAGGACTGGCAAAGAAAGCTGAAAAAAAGACTTACTATCTCCATGGTATCAGGGAACTGATTCTGATACAACTTCTCATAATTGCAGGAGGAAAAAAACTAACTTTGCTACCATGGAAACGTAAGGGTGCAACATAACTGGTTATTACCTGTCTGCCTTAACAAGACTGGTCCCTAACATGTTAAGGCCTTCAGTAACATAGGTAATTTCTTTTCCACCTGAGACATTAATGTGTTACAAGAGGAACAGGGGGAAGCTGTTCAATGAGCTCACCAAGCATGGAGAGAACAGCTCAGGAACGAGAGGTATTTCTGGGAGAAGTGGGGGATTGCAGAGTGGAGGAAGGGAATAAAAGAAAGATCAAGGAAGATACCACAATACCAGAAGAAATCAGGGAAAGGGAGTTTGGGTTGATTAGTGAGACAGCAAACAAGGCCTTGACAGGCTGGATCCTGGTCCTGCTAATCAGAACCTTTTAAATAAACAGAGCAGCAAAGATGAGATGGATGGTACCTTGCCCTAGTGCAGGTGCAATCTCAGAGAAAGCGTATCTTGTGGAATTTATGTGTTCTCATCATTCCTTATTTTTCCTTTGTTCTTCACTGGAAAATTCCACTCTTTGGTTGCATAAAATAACTAACAGCGTTTGCACCTTCCTCACTGTTCAGTTCTGCAACAAAAGTCATCCTCTTTTCTGTTATTGCAAGCTTTATTCTGTCTGCCAGTCACGTGTCCTGTTAGTAAAATTCTTTAACATGTGTAGTTCAATATCCTCTTGATATACTCTCTAGACCCGTCATAGAACACATACAACATAGAGCCAGCAAGATCCTCACGGCTGTCACTGGAGAGGTGTCTCTCAGGATGCTTCACTCAAGCTTTTACATCCCAGCCCTGCGGCCGCTGTTCTCAGAGAAGCTGTGCAGCACTCAGGGTATGCCTGTAATCCCTGCAGGTTTACTTCAACTGAGTGAGGTTTCTGCATCGTCCCTGAAGGCACCCTTCAGCCTCCTGAGGGCACACAGCGTTGTCACCATACTGCTGCTGACATAATCATTCAGTGGTGTGTTTTTTTCCCCTCACGGTTGGGGATGGCCTCTTCTCTCAGGTAACAGTGATAGGTAGGACAAGAGAAAACAGCCTTAAGTTGCACCAAGGAAGGTTCAGGTTGGATATCAGGAAAAACTCAGAGTGGTGAGGCACTGGTGCAGGCTGCCTTGGGAGGCCCAGCTCGGGAGGGAAGCATCCTTGTTCGTAGAGCTGCGGTCTGGCTAGCTGCCCAGCCCTCGTCGCCACGGTAACTGCGCACACCTCAGGCCAGATTCGCGCAACGGCTCCTTTAAGGAGGAGCAGTTCGCCATTTTAGGTTCCCCCGCCCCCTCCTGTCACGTGACGCTGGCGGCCGCCATCTTAGGCTCTCCGCGCCGGCGCCTCGCGTTGCTCGGGTCACGTGGGATTGGGGCCGGCGGAGCTGAGGGGAGGGGAGCGGAGCCGCGCGGCCGGAGGCTGAGGGGCGGTGGCAGCGACACGATGGGGCAGTGCGGGATCACCTCCTCCAAAACCGTGCTGGTCTTCCTCAACCTCATCTTCTGGGTGAGTCCGGTGGGGTCGGAGAAGATGGGCGCATCTCAGAGGTGCGGAGGGCTGGGGCCGAGCGCGGTGCGGGGCCCGGCGCTGAGGGAGGTGCGGGCCGCGCTGCCTCGCTGCTGTCCGGCCTTACGGCCGCCTGGGAGCGCCGCGCTGTCCCGTGTCTGTTTCACCGTGTCCCATTTCCCTTTAAACTCGTTAAAAGCGTTTGTGTTTCCTTGGGAAGCCGCGCTGTGTGCAATCTTCTCATTTCCAAGCCGCCCTCCTCCGGAGTTGGGAGGTGGATGAAACTGCATCTGTTGTCTCAGCGCTGGGTAGCATTTAATGAGCATCAGAGATCCTGCCGTAGGGGCTCTTGTGTAACGTGATACAGCTGGAACTGCGGTATTGAGGTTTGCAGATTTTTGCCGCTTTAGTTTCTGTAGGGCTGCTGCAGCCACCTAGTTTTCGGCCTTTAAAGTCTGCCCCGAGCACTTAGTGGTAAGTATGTGACACTGATTTCTTCCACACGTTTAACGCAGAACTATTCGTACGTAGAACTTAATGGTGTGACAGCAAGTGCTGTGAGTCACTTTTTCTAGTCAGTGCAGTTTCACAGCAGTATTTATGCCTTGCTTGAACCTGCCACAGCTGTGCTTACCCAGCCTGGGGAGCAGCAGGCTGCTGGAAAAAAAAACCTTGCTGAAGATGGGTGTTCAGTTGTCTTTGCCCATTGCCAGGTGTAGAGCAATGCATGCAGAGATTACACAAAGTCATGATGTGAACTTTAAGAATTCCTTTTTTTTTTTTTTTTTACGGGGGGGGGGGGGGGGAGGGGGGGGGGTGTTAATTTCTCTGTTTCTCATTTTCTACTCCTGGCTCCAGGAAGGGAAGATTTCGCTGCTATTCAAAGCATTGAGTAGGGAATAGTTGGTAAGGAGATACTAGGAGATAAAAGTGTAACTATATTTAGCTAAATAATGATTAGTACCATATGAAATGTAACAAGTGTTAGAGGGTAACTGTGTTTCTCTAGATTTTTACAAAGGAATGTGTCTCTTGGGTGCTTAAGCATGAGTTATGGTCAGGCAAAATGCACGTCTGTGCAGTCTCACTGGCATTTGTATATACAGCTGTTCAGAGAGAGAAGTTGATGTGAGGCATATTTAAAAGATCTGTGTTAGGAGTAGTCTCCATTGCTTATCTTGGAAGTATCATCACAAAATGGGTTGGAAGGGACCTCAAGAATCATGAAGCTCCAACCCCCTGTCACAGACATGGCCACCAACCTCCCCATTTGATACTAGACCAGGTTGCTCAGGGCCCCATCCAACCTGGCCTTGAGCACCTCTAGGGACATGGCTGGAAGCTCCTTTGTAGGGAGTGGTTTTTTGTTACATGCAAGTGATACTGAAAGAGTATTGTGAGAGCTGCCAAATAGTGCTTAGTTTTTCACTGGATGTGAAGTTGCTGTGAGTTGCATCTTGAAGAAGTGCTTTATGCTCCTTAGTTACTGATATAAATTAGGTTGTGTTTTTAACGGATGCAAGTTCTGTGAGTTTTCTCTTCCAACCCCAAAGTTCAGTTTTATATATTTGGAAGGTGTTGATTGCTACTTGCTGCATTTAGTAATTCAATTGCAAGTGTGTTTATTCAAAAAAAAAAAAAAACCACCACCACCAACAAAAAACAACACACCCATCAGTGTTAAGCACAGAAGCTACTTGGTGTAATACTTAATAGTGTTTTAGGGTTTTTAATGGCACTGTTCTGTTCTTAAGACAAATTTGACTCAGATGATGTGTAGACAGTTTGTGTTTAGGTACCAAGTACTCTGTGTCAAATCTCCAAAGAGGTCAACTTTTGCTGACAGCTTTTTGACAGGGAGGCAGCTTCAGTGGCCATACTGCTGATAAGTTGTACGTGGAATGATAAATGCAGGTTTATCCAAAACTGAAAGCCTCGAAACCTGTGTCTTGGCTCTTTAGCCAAGCTGTAGCCTAAAGGTAGGAAAGAATGAATGTGACTTCTTACAAAATTTAAGCAAAAGTTGTGCATCTCAGTTTTAAATGGCAAAAGAGAAGGAAGCATTTGAGTTCTTGATTTAGCATGTTTCATTTGGTGACTGAGCTGAACGTGTATAACATTTAGTGCCTATCTAGTTGGCAGTATAATTGCTTCTGTGCCATTACAGAAGTGTTCTGATTGTCATTCATATGTCATTCCAGTATTGGTAATCAGATCATCTAGATTTACACTGAGGCTTTTGACAGCCAACTGCCTATAATTTGTCAAGTAACTGTGAAACGTCCTTGAATTGCTTTTTTTAAACTTAGTATGTCATTTCAGAGTATCATATATAAACTTTGTGATCAACAGGATTGTCATAATCTTTATGGTGTGCATTTATATCACAGAATTAACTTGAATTCTGTATTTAAACTTGAGATTAGTTTGCTGCAGCCATTGAAAGCTCTGACAATTAGCCGAGTGAATTGTTTTTGAAGTGTTTAGACAGTGCTCTCAGAAATATGGTTGGTTTTTTTTTTTGGTTGATCTTACATGAAGCCAAGGATTGGCCTCAGCAGTGCTGGTGGATCTCTTCCAATGCAGGACTTTCTATTATTATAACTTTTTTCTCCCTAACCACAGTTCTGATATTTGTGGGAGGTGTGAATGTTCAGAACACTTTTTTTTTTTTATAGTTCAGTCTTTTGGATGTGAGATGTTCAGAAAATTACTACTGCTACTGCCTGGAGGAAAAAGAACAGCTTTATTAGTTCTGAATGTAATTTGTTAAAAATAATTGATATTTTGAATTCCTGTCTACTAAACATTTTGGTTCTTACTTTCTCCTTTGGTACCATTTTCTATCAATCGCTTGGTTTGCTGGGAAAATGTTTAGTATCTATCAGCTGTTCTTTTGGTACTGTGAACCTGATGATGTCTTCATCAGAAAAGTTTAAGCCTTGAAGTACTGAGTCACTCCAAAAGTAATGTCTCATATTTCTTTCCATAGAAACTAGAACAGATAGAAAGAACACCTTAACACTATTGGATAGAGTGGATTCTCAGTTGCAAGTTATGGTATGATAAAAAGACAAGAAAGAAGGCTGGGGAGGAGGAAGCACTGTGGGGCTGTACCTCTAACCAACACATAGGTCTCTTAGATCAGCATGACAGTGGTATCAAAAAACACCCCCATTTTCATTAAGTACTTAATAACAGAAGAGGAACTAAGGATGCTTGCTAATAAATAAAGAGCACTGTCTGCTTTGTTCTGCTGAAGTGGGCAGTTTCACTGATGGCACCTCTAATCACATGAAGCCACCATTCTGTTCCTGTTCTGTATGACACTGTTGCAGTGCACTGAGATGTTTACCTCAGGCTTCTGTATATGTTGCAAGAGTTCACATGTTCTGTTTCTGCAGTTTCTTTTAATTCACAGACGTGTTCATATATGAGTGTTTGGTTATTACTAAGCTCTAGGGGGAAAAAAGACCAGCAAGAAAAAGGTTTTATTATTTTCTTAGTATAGGTGTGATTTAGTATTGTTAACAGATCCTTCAGTTGACGAGACTGCTTAAGTAAAATTAATACAGAGCGTGCATGTTGGCAATAGCAAGTTCCTTTTGCGGCTGCAAATGTGTAAAGAAGCAAGCTAGTGTAAATGGTACTGCCATAGGCTTTTTGCCAAGAGAAGCTGTCCCTGTTTGTGGCAGCAGACATTAAGAGTGGTGTCTTTGCTTATGCTCACACAGGCTTTCTTAATTCATCAGGAGTAAGATCCTCTTATTTTTCTGTATTGGTCTCAAGTAGGATGTCATCTCTGATAGTTCTGTGGTAGCTCCGTATTTGTCTTTGCCTTATGAAAAAGGAAGGTCAGGCATGCTATCTGATAGCTGTACCTGCTCATTCATTTATGGCTGCTGATGTAGCCCAAGCTCCACCCAGTTTGCAGTTTGTGATTCTAAAAATTCATCTCCTTCTGGAAAGTCTGATGTTAAGTTTTATTTCACTTCATTACACCCAAGAAATAAAACAATAATGCTTCTACTAAGTGCATTTTTCCAAAATACCTTTGAATTATCTCCCCCTCACCCCCTGTGGGATAGGGGCAAGGATCAAAGAACAAAAGTAGAACTTGTGGGTTGAGATTAAACTAATCACAAAGATAGAGAAAAGGAACAGGGAATAGCTAGAACAAGTGATGCACAGGCAGTTGATCACCACCTCTGACCTATGCCCAGCTGGCCTCCTGAGCAATGGAAGAAAGTGAGATGAACTCCTCCACCCTTCAGACTCCTTCTGCATGATGTCACATGGTGCAGAACATCCCTGTGGCCAGTTTGAGTCAGCTGTCCTAATTCTGTTCCCTCCCAGCTCCTTGGGCCCTTTGCTGCAAATGGCCTTGGCTCTGTGCAGCACCACTTAGCAGCAGCTATCAACACCACTGTGTTATCAGCATTGTTTTTCTCCTAGAACCAAAATGTAGCATCGTAACAGATGGTCTGAAGAAAGCAATTCCATCCCAGCTGAAAGTAAGGCACTAAGTTAAAGCTCCATCAGGTGACTTGTACAGCTTAGTTGAAAGCTATTTGAAGAAATGAAATAAATGTAAAAATGCAGAGAAATGCTTTTGGGCTTGTTCTTTAGGAGGTAGTGTAGATGGCTAAAATGTTCAAGGATGCCTACAGTTGGAGTCTGTGTTCATAAAGAATACGTATGCTTTGACAGCCTGTAGTGCTAAAACAGTACCTAATACCCTATGCTTCCTTTGAGGTTTTTTCTTTACCTGTACATCTGCTCCTTGAGAAAGGGAATAAAGTTTGCTTTTGCTCCTGTGATGCTTTCTACTTGGTATTCACAAGCCAACTCTTTTAACTGTTCTTTAAATTGCTTAACTATCTAGAAATCATTAATTTTACTATTTGACCAAACTAGTATAAAATAGCCCTAGTAGCGGTTGTTGAATCGCCAGGCTTCATTTCAATATAGCAAGAAGGCTTTTTACAATCCTGTGCTTA